ACACAAAGATGAAAGACCCTTAGCCAGTATACTAGAAAATGAGGCTCAAAGCAGGAGATAAAACCAAAATTCACAAACATCGATAGCCTCAGCTGATCTACCAGGAGACTCCAACATCCCTTTCTTCCTCCAGCTCTATGTGAGCCTCAGCACTCTACTCTCCACTTAAGGGTTTTGAATAAACAAGATACAATTTGAACTTGAATATGATTTTGTGGAATTTTTTGTGTGTTTTGTTTGTTTGTTTTAACGTCACAAAAGTGAGGAGTTAACTTTATAAACATTCCCTGGGAAAACGTGCAATTAAAAAGACAATATAACACAGACAACTTCCACCACTGAATGCCAGTTGAGCTGCCAGCAAGCAAATGGCTAACAAAGAAATCTGCTTTTCAGGGTTTCAGATCACAGCACCTGGGAGGACTGCTGTAACTATATACCTGAAATGCCTCACTTTAATAGACAGCAATGTTATAAGCATGTTTCACAGGAAAAAGTCCTCCCTAGATGCAAAGAATCCAAAGCAAGACCATATTGGATACAATTTTGCACTATTATGGTCATTATACATAAATTGCTCTATTAAACAAACCCATAGGTTTAGTCTATGGGAATTGGTAATTCCAAAAAAATCAGTGACATACCTCCAGCTGAAGAGCCAGTCATGGGGCATAAACAACGAAATTTTTGAAAATAACTGAAACACAGCTGAAAAACCTCAACATAAAGAGCTAAAGCTAAACAATAAACCAAGAGATAAATATAGGAACAGGCCACTGGAGAAAATGTTTCTCCAAGTGTGTCCAGCTGATCTTTAAAATTTAATCACAATTCACCAGGCAATGCTTCCTTACATGTTTTTTCAAGAGACACTTCCCTGTACAGCCCTCTAGTACGTACTGCTCAGGTGTTTGCAGGGGCCACTTAAACAAATCAATTAGTCATTAGTACCTGGGGTGCATCCAACTTAATGAAATAGTCTTTTCATCCATTATCATACATCAGAAACAATCCCTGCAGAGTAAATGATGCAGTATCTTAAAAGTCGTGCTGTTTTAACAACCGAGATCAGGGCTACAGAGATAATTTTTGAGCTTTACATAATTTTTCACTTTAACAAAAATCTACATGTGGCTTCGTAGGACAAGTTTTGTTTGGTTAACTCCTGGGTATCAATGAGCTTACATTCGTTTTATGGCAAATTGGTTTAAAGTTTTTAGAAAGCTACCCAAGGTCATAACTGGTTCAGAAGGTTACCAGCTTTCTTAAAGGACTGAGCAGACTACAAAACCAGTGCAAGATTTTAATTTTTTCCTCCAGCTAAGTGTAAGTTGACAGGGAACAGCTCTGTTAACTACAAAAACAAGCAGTCATAAGAACAAGGGTGGTAGGGCTAGGAAATAAGAGTTATACCATACAGATGATACTGGCAAATCCAGAACTGGCTTTAAATAAGGGAGCACAGGAACCAAGCTTAGAGCCTGAAGTGACTCTGTATGCAAAGCACAAGTTGGGCTTAGCTACAGGAGTACTGAGCTTTGATGCCTTCTGCATCCCTGATTCCATTAGTGCTGTCAGAGCAGCTGTGTCTTACTTGAGACTCTTTTGAAGCAAGGAAAGTGGAAGAGGTCAAGCATTATCATACACACCATCTTTTTTAAAACGCCTCTAGAAAGCTCACAGATTTACCATGTATGTAACAGATAAGTGATGATAATTTACCTGCATATTTGAATACGACCTCCAAAATAACGCGTAAGAGTAATTCCACCTGTTGAAATCAGATCTTGGCTTCTGAAATTCATTCCCTTGTGTTTTGAACCCATCAGCACTGGCTGATCTCCCTGATGACCAAGAAGCTAAGTACCAAAGCCTCTGCAGAGCCAAGAACTACAAGCACTTAGTAAATATCTCCAGAAAAAGATGGGAAGGAGCTCTGTGAGAAAGAGCACCTGGCAAAATAGTCTCCAAGGGTCTCAGTACTGAGAAGACACTTCAAGACCCCATTTCACTACAAAGCAATTAAGAAATATCACCAGGGCACGAGACACTTGAACTTCTTGTTAACCTCCTACTGCAGCCGTGCCCCACAGCTACAATACCATTCTGAGAGCACCACTGGATTTCTCTTATCTTTCCTCTCACATAAGAGTCTGTTGTCAGCCCTAGAAATTGAAGACAGACAAAGAGTTCAGCATCAGATATGTTTATTAGACAATTCAAAAAGTCAGTTTTATTAGACAATTCAAAAAGAAAAGCAGAATGTTTTAATGTCCATGTTTTAATACTTTTGTCTCAAGAACCTGGCAATCACAGAAAATAAAAATAGCATTTACAAAAGTTACAAAAGCCGCACTGCATTCGAATTACAGAAAACATGATTAGTTGACAAGCAAGCTTTATAAAATGCAGTAACAGATTTTTCACCTGATTACGAAACACAGTGATATTGCCACATAGATCCATTCACAAAATGAGCATAGTATTGACATTAAGGCACTTTGGATACATAGTATTCACTTCCATATAGGAAAACCATTTCAGAGAAACCGCAGTGAATTGCTACTGGTAGACAGTGACAGTATGCCCAGCACTGGCCATCGAAGCACCACGTTTGTGTGAATGAGTGAAACTCTTGATTAAAAAAAAGCTCTGAAAATTTTTCCTACCCTATTTGATATTGAAGACTCATTCAAGCAAATTTACTTTTAAAGAGGTCAAGGAAGATTTCCATTATTTAACACTGTTAAACACAATTTTTAAAGTTAAACAGTTTAAAAAGTCCATGTTGAAAACTGTGTGAAGTTCACATTAAGGATTAGCACATGTAGCTGCTTCAAAAGAATAAAAAAAGGCATTGGCTTTCTCCATTCAACATTTACCGGCCATTTCAACCACAGTAATACCAAAGGAAATACAGTACAAGAGAATAATTTGTCCAAGAGGCAACCTCTCTTCTAGAGACTTTCTAGTCCTCCTTTTCATTTCAGATTGTCATACGGTTACTGCCTGTATCCCAGTCTGCCACAAGCACACTATTTACCAGTAGATCTACAACAGGCTCTACAAATAACGATTCTCTAATTTGAAGGCAAAATTTCATCAGTAATTCGTTCGTTTTGTAGACATCAATTACAGCCTTTGAAATAATAAATTTTAAGGAGTAAAAATACTCAAGAACCTAACACTGCAAGCACACAAGTACTTTAACAGGAGTTAAACAGAACTGTCAGCAATGACTTTAGGCATTTACAGGATCAGGCACTTAAACTGTGTATTATTGTTGCTGGTTTACTTTGCCAACTTGAATGAAAAATGCCGTGGTATAGGGAAAAAGGCAACTTCATCAAAACTTCTTCAAAAAACATCAAAGTAGGACTTCAACATGGAAACTATGATTACTCTAAACAACCTGGCTCATAACTAGAACAAACTATTTCCACAGTGGTAGGGTCCAACAGTTTTCACCAGAAATCAGAAGAAGACACTGTAAGAGAAATTGTTTCTGCACAGCATCTTCACAGG